GCTGCACGGAGTCGAAGAACATCCTGAAACGAGTACGAGGAAGATCGCTAGACACATAAATATTTGCCACCAAATTGTTTGGAGAATTTTAGTGGATTTTTTGTTACATCCTTACCATATTTTGAGAGTACAGGCATTACTTCCCATTGATTTTCCAAGGCGTGTGAGCTTTTGTCAGTGGTATCTTCAAAAAATTACACAAAATTCGCAATTTGAATCAATGATTCTGTTCACGGTCGAAGCTATTTTTTCTCGAAATGCCATTCAAAATATCCACAATAATCATTTGTGGGCAGAAGAATATCCCTATGCCGTAACCAAAACCCATTTCCAACATCAATTTTCGGTTAACGTATGGGCAGGAATTATTGGCAACCACTTTATTGGCCCATTCCTGACGACTTGACGGACAGATTTACCTCAATTTTCTTCAAAAACAGTTGCCTTTGCTGCTTGATGATGTTCCGTTAGTAATAAGAAACAATATGTGGTACATGCATGATGGTGCACCAGCGCATTTCAGTGTAGTGGTTCGTAATTATTTATATACTGTTTATCCAAATCTTTGGATTGGCCGAGGTGGGCTCCAAGAATGGCCACCAAGATCCCCAGACGTCAAGAGTTGAGATTTCTTTTTGTAGGGATATCTTAAGACACTAGTGTACACAAGTCCGATTAACACTGTAAAGTAATTAAGAGAAAGAATATTTGCAGCTTGTGATAGAATGAAAAACACTCCAGGGATATTTCAACGAGTGCGCAATTCCATGAGAAGGAGGGCGAAAGCATGCATACCAAGTGAAGGGGGCCATTTTCAACAATTAATGTAATCATTTCGTTGGTTTTAATGTTATGTTTATGTTGTCAGTAGTTGTTGTTCATTACCCCTAATGTGTTTAATTTTTTTCAATTAAATTAATAATAATTTTGCAAGTTAAGCAATAGAACGGTTTTTATTTTTTTACTCAAAAATTGCACGTCGAAGGAAAACAGTTTAAGAGAGGTTTGTTTTAAATTAAACGGGGAATTCAAAAATAATTTTTATTTGGCAAAAAAACATTGGCGTACTATTTTTTTCTTAAAACAATATCGAAGTCAATACTCATACGCACGCCACTGTTAAAGTTAAAAATTATTTTTGCATTGAAAAATATGCAACTTTATTAACTTCCACTACGTACTAAACATCAGTGAAATATCTAAAGCGGTTCTGAAAATATTAAGTAATTTCTTAAAACTTCAACACGCCGAGTTTTTGTAAGGAAAGATTTTTGGACCACAGTTTATAAAGCAAACTAACCCTTAAATATTCGCATATCATATAGGAACACCCTGTATATTCAGGTTGTATTCGGTATTCTTATTTCTGTATATGAGCAAACGTATTCTTTGCTCCTTAAGCGCTGGCTGTTCCAATTTTGCATTTAGTGGATTAATGAACATGAATCTAACCTTGGACAATAATTCACCAAAGTCATTTCAAGATCTCTAGGAAAAATAGAAGGTAATTTGCTTGGATCGAAAATGGATGATTATAACTTTCTCCATTCTTGTCAGACGAACTTTAGTACGCTTGGGTGATTTTTCTCGCAAAAAAAAGTGTCGTTACTCAGGAACCGGCCCATATCGTAAATGTGCAGGCGTTTCTGATACTTTCGTTGTAGGACTACCTGTTAAAATTTTGCATTCAATGTCTCTAGGATAAATAGAAGGTGGATCGAAAATTCATAAATAGGACTTTTCAGGCAAAATTTTCTATTTTTACGTTGCAAGATGCACTTTTTCAGCAGGACAATTCACGACCTCATGTCGCACGTGTTAGTTTAGACTTTTTAAAAGCGTCCAGAGTAAATCTGCTTCAGTGGTCTCCTCGATCTCCAGACCTCTCCCCCATTGGACGTGTATGGGACATGGTAAGAAGAACGTTGCAAAATTCACCGCACCCTGCACAAACATTGGAGGCTCTACGAAACCAAATTGAGATGGCCTGAGATCCAATCAATGCTGCGACGACTTATCGAATGTGTAGCAAACAGAGGAGCTTCAACAAATTATTAACATTAAGGTGAGATATGTCTAAGATAAACCTAAAACTTGTAAAAGTAGGCTCAAATTTACAGCACTCCTAGCAGGTGTTGCATTTTCTATGACATTGAGTACATATAAAAATAAAATTACTACCCGTCAGTGCTATTTTGCTAAATAACTGATGAGTCCTTACACTAAAATGACATCGGATTTGGAATCTATAAGCACCTGATTTACCTAGTAGGCGAGTCTCCATTGAGATTACAAACACGCAACAATATTCGGAAAATGCTTATTATTCGTATTTCAGAAAGCAGAGTTCTCGCCAATATCTCGTCGCAATGGGACCCGGATCCGATCTCAGCGACCCAAAAACGTATTATAAGTATGTTTGTCGTCACATACCCCTCCGAACAATGTCATGTAACATCTATTACTCGCATTTTGTGGAAAATAAAACTCCACGACGTCTCGGTGGATAGGAAAGTTTGTATATTTATGTAATTTGGGGCGCTGAATTTCAATATCATCGTGAAAAAATGTTATAAAAGTGCCCCGGGAACCAAATTTGAGGTAAGAAAAAAATATTCAATTGATATATTTGCTGATATTTTCAAACTGTCGAAAGTAGTTTCCAAGGACCTTTCAAATTATAGACCTGTTTCACTTATACCCCTACTTGCTAAGGTAGTTGAGATTCTTTTGAAAGATCAGATGATCGACTTTTGTAAAAGCAAAAACCTAAGTGCTGACTGTCGTTTCGGTTTTATATCTAAAATTCTATAGCTATTGACCGCTTCATTGAGAAAACAAATGCAGCTTTTGGAAGTGGTGCTCATTATTCGGCTATTTTTTTACTCACTAAGGTCGTCGATTCGTTTCTTCTTCTATAAAAATTGTCGCATTACAAGTTCCATAGTAGTAGCAGCAACCATTATGGACAGGGGCGGTTATGTCACCAAAAGGAGTAGAAAAAATTCATTTTATTGATGGAAATGTGGATACAAACAAATATTTGGCAATTTTAGAAGAATCGCTTTTACCAGTGATGGAAGAATGTTTGACATCCGGCCATGAATTTGTGTTTCAGCAAGATGGTGCAGCGTGCCACACCTCAAACAAGGCTATAAAATGGATGGAAGAAAATAATGTACCACTTTTGAAATGGGTTTCTAGCAGTCCAGATTTGTCACCTATTGAAACTTTGTGGCACGAGATGAAAAAGGTTCTACGACAACATCCTGCTCGTACAATCATCGAACTGAGACAGAAGCTTCAAGAAATATGGGATTGTTTTACACCAAACTTTTGCCAAAACTTGGTTAACACTATGCCCCAAAGAATTTCAGCCGTAATAAAAAATAAAGGTGATGTTACCCAATGGTAATCTTTCAATTGTTGCTTTGTTAACTTCGCGCATTTATTCGCACATTGTTTATTTGTTCAGATGTTCTATTAGTTACAGGTCTAAGTAATTTCAAATAAGTATTTTTTACGAGTAGAGTGTATCTAAAATGTTTTTGAGAAAATAAATTGTTTTAGAAGTAAATAGTTTCGTCATGTTTAGTTTATAAAGGCATATTTTGGTACAAATCTTGAAGTGGGCTAACTGAAGTGTGCTGATGACACAACAATGCTCTGTAGTAGCAAATCGATTGATCTACCTTTCTCTGTGAATATTGAATATATACTAAATTTAAGAAATTAGTTTTTAGCAAATAAACAGACTCTTAATGCTTCAAAGTTACAGTCCCTGGTAATAAGTTTGTGTCACCATAACCTCACTACCACAGACACAATACAATTATTGGGTATCAATATTGATACACACATAAACATGTAAACAGTATTCACAGGGAAGAAATCCAAGACTATTGTTCAATTACGAATTTGAAAACCTGTGTTTCTGGTGATACGTTGCTAACCACATAATATGGATACTTCCACTAAAGAATGTCATATGCACTTTTGAACTGGCGTCACTCTATAGCATACCTTGTCAAGAAAGCTTTTTATACCATCGAAGAATTTTTAAGCAATAACTTTTTGGGTCTCTTATAATGATGTTGTAGAGTGCTCGTTTACTTTTACTCTGTTTGTTAATTTGTTCGGATGTGCTTGTATTATAGTTTTGTATTTATTTTAAATTCATAATATTATCTCACACTGTTTCTGTTAATGTTCTTTCCAACAAAATTTATTGTTTTGTGAATTTATACTTTTGTATTTTAACTTCTACTTTGACACGTGTAGGCACGCAACTGTATCAAGCACCAATTAAGAAATGGAATAAAATGATAGAAAGCTATTTCGTCGGGACTAACAGGAATCCAAGCAGCAAATTGACATTGGATTTGGAATTTATGCACCATGTAAATAAGTGTGATATGTCAATGTCGCTGTGTAACTTAACGTCAACAGGTAATTTTGTTCCCTATGCCTGTCTGGACAATAAAACCATATGTTCAGATATTTACTCTAGTAGACGTTTCAATCACAAAGGTGATCTCCAGTCACTGTATTGAAGAAGATCATATTTGTGATTGAATCGTTCACTACAGTATTGACAAAAGATCTGTCAATACATGTATTTTTATTGCATGGTGGATTATCGACATGTAAACCACAGGATAAGTTTCAGATTTTACAATAAACTATAAGCGAATGTCCCTGTAACGAGATTTTGAGAAAGCACTAGCTAACCACGGAGGTTACACACACAATAAGCTTGTCGAATTCTTAGTCTCAATCAAAGCCGTGATCAATCCCACACGATTATCTTAAAATGTTCTCAAAGCTATCTTCCAAACTGAAGAATAAAAATCAGTTCATCTGTTTACAACATGTGGTGATTTATTCAAAGAACACACGTCTTTTTAGGTCTTAGGTTCAAGAATATCATTTCGGAATATATCAAAGAAGCTCAATTTACAGATAACACACTCTAAACCAGTAAGAATCGTCGTACTTACCGCATGTAACCAAAAAAAATCACACATAACTCCACTGTTGAATCTGAATCAGCCCGAAAGCGCGGTCTGTAGAGTACTAATAAAAACTTTAACTAACTAAATTGCAGAATCGTATCGTAACTGGCCCATCATAGAGCGAACAAATAACTAGGTACTCATCTCCGTACTCATTGTACTCTTTCCAATGGAACAAAATGCAGTCGAAGTCTATCAATAGGGACATAGCACTGGGCACTCCGCATGTATGGACCCTGTATAAGCTCTGTATGCTTGTGTTAAAGGTTATTTGAGATAATGAGGATCTTGCCTTAACTGCCTGAGAATGAAAAATTGTTTTGCTGTCGAGTTATCGTACTCGTACTTATCATTAACTACACATCAATCGGAATATTTAGGATGCGTTAATTAATGACATTGGGCTGTGCATTTCTTTGAAAGACCCTTGCACTTTCTTCGAAGAAAGCAGAGAATGTCAAAAAATAGCGGTTATGCACAGTGGCGGCTCGTGCAAGTGGGTCACGGTTCAAAACGGTTTTCTGGATATTCATGGTGTGGTTCAACACGTTGAAATACCGAAAAATCATCTAAACGGTGAATATACAGTAACAGACAAAAGTTTGGAAACATTCTTAGTAATTTTTAAAAAGTGAGCCAATTTTTTATTTTTTATTATCAAGGACTATTTTTTTCTCATATAGTTTGCTTACAGTCTTGACGATACAAATGACAATTTGTGTTAGCTTTTAGCATTAAAATAACTTCATATTACTTTATGACCAAAAATGAGACGATAAAAGTATGGAAACATATATTTTTTTGTTGCACAATTAAATGCAATAACTCTACAAAGATATTTAAGAAACACTGTTTAACTAACATTTGGTAGCATAGCCTTTAACATTCAACACTGCTCATAGAAGCACCAATTTTTTACAGACGTCTGTTAGGATATTTGGTCAAATCTTTTTTACGTGATCAAATAAATCGGTCCTATTTTTAAGTTTAAGTTTTTCTTGTCAGTTGTCTTTTAACATGCTCCCAGGGATCTATAGGGTTTATGCCCGGGGATTGCGAAGGCCATGTCAGAACTTTGACATTTTTTAGTCTTAACTAGTCCTTCATGGGCAGTTGAAAAACAAAAACAAAACTGAAACAATACCAAAACTCTTCTATCCATCAATCGGGCTACATATTATTCGAGTTTTGTTTTTGTTTTTGGGTCCTTTTCCACTAGTCGTCGCCAGGAAGTCAAAGCACAGTTTTTCTTCAATAACCAACCAACATGTTTCGAGATGAAACTTTTTTATTCTTAGTTAAGTCTGGCCGATACTGAAGTCCTTGGAGAAAAGTAAATGTATATGTGTACAGTGTCTATAAGAAAATAGCTGTGTCAGTAACTATAAACTAGCCAAGTAAACATTTTAACCGTGCATACCTGTATATATCTGTATTTATTAATGACTAAAATAGTATTATTTTTTGGGAGGAAATTTATCAAAAAGAGTAATTTATGGTGCTGCACAATTGACGAATGATATCCAAAATAATGACATTGGATTGCAGGGGAACATGGCACATTTTATCATAATTTTGGCAGTAAAAGTTGCAAAGTTGAATACAAACTTTAGAGATTAAATTTCTGTTAAAGATCGATTATCAATTCCTTGCTAATGGGGGGACAATACTCAAAAGCTTCATGTACCTATAAGTGTATCCATCATCTCGAAACATATTTCTTATCTATAAAAAAATATGTTATTTACTTATCTACAAAATTCGTATACGGACTAGCAAGACGAAAATAGAAAAATACCAGGCCGTTTCCACTAAACAGACAAAACTCCGACTGTTGCAAAAAATATCAGAAATTTGCGAAAAGTTACAGTTTTGTTTTATTCGAGTTTGTATATTGTTTTCGTTTTGTCCACATAGTGGAAAACCGCCATAATATGGAGTCTTTGAAAGATCGTCTTATTTTTATCGAAAACAGATTGAAATATTGAGATCAGTTTTGAACGCATTAGTATGTTCAAAATTGTTTTTTAAAGCGCATGTCTAGCTATTTTACCTGAAAATGAATTTAGAAATCCACTTTAAAAGGAGAGTTTTTGGTCTCATAAATGAAGCTAGGATCTTAAATCGCTGCAGTCAGTCAAGTCGGTTAACTCTGCAGTTCACAAGTAATGCTGTCATCAGCTCATAAAATATTGTGTTTTGGTGATCGGTGTAGGCGAAAAAGTTAACTACGAACGTATGGCGACAAAATTGGATCAAGGTCAAATAAGTCCATACAATTAATCCCCAGTCTCCACACATTGTCATCTATAAATGTTTGCTCTAAATTTACCAATGATCCGAAAATTTTGTGATCAGAATTGAGATAATCAAACTCCCAGTGTCAGCCGCTAACTCACAACAGATTTTTTCGTTGTCTATAATTAGGTCTTTAGGTCAAATATACTGGGGAAATCGATGTATAAAATACGTTCAACAAGGGCGTAGAATTATGAGGCATAGAAGAGTATAGATATATTATCGCCAAATAATTATTGAGATATACAATTTCCTGCCACCAATGTCTTAACTTTCTGGGCAGCAACGCTTTGAATGAGAAGACTCACAACTTTTCTGATACTGAAGTTATTCATCGAATCTACTCACTGCGTTGTTGTATTCATCACTATACTTACTATACCTTCCATTTGTACTCTCTCACTAGCTAAGTATACATAGGATACTCTTGACAGAGAAACAAAACAAGAAAACTCTATCGATAACATGAAGAAGAAAAAGCTTATATTAAAACCTGATGTTAATTCCTATTCAGAATGCAAAGCAGCAATACACAACAAAGTGAAAGAATGCAAATTGATTTTGTCGGGATTCTCGTTGTTAGAGTTACTAGATTTTTCGATCGGAGTTGTATAGTTGTATCATGAACTTCTTGAATATTTTTCGTAGGCTCGTGATCCAGCCCTGGAAATAAAGGGGTCTTCCAAATAGGATCTGCTTGCTTTCCGTCTCTGCAACCATATACCATTGTTTCATGTTTTTTCGCAATCATCAGCACGGTATATCGCTAATCAATTGAAGACAGATGTCGGAAAGTAAACAAGGCAAATGGGACTGTTGAAAAATTCAGTATTGTGATAAGCGATATTTATATTATATGCATATGAGAGACATGTTATTCTGAGACACCCTGTACGCAGCTCCTCTAGATGTAGATAATTCTGGACAATATAGCAGATATTGTTCGTCATTTGGTATACTTACGTGAGCATTTTTTCTCAGCCAAGAGTGAAGAACGCGTTTGTAGACCCTGTGACCTCTTCAATTAGTTCCAATTTAGGCAAAGATTAAACACTGGAGCTGAACTGGCATAAAGCTTACCATACATGGAAACACGCTTCTATGACGAGTATGAGATGTGTTAGAGAATTACCAAAATACTATACTCAGTCCGTAAAATAACAGAGGGAATTCGACAATGAGGGTATCTCTCTAATTGGCAGTTTGTATTTATTGCTATCACAGTAACGCTGCTTCTTTGAACGAATTTTTCTTTAACAATAGCTCATCTGTAAACAAAGAACTGGCCGATACTACCACTTGTTGGTCCTTAGTGTATGTGAAATGTGGAAAGGCTTTTCCATGAATGGTCTTCGTAGGGCTGGAAACATCCTAAAAATAAACATCAATATATAAAAACGTCACCTTGACAACATGGATGAATTTTTTGAGTCTGTAAAATAAATCAGCTCAATGAACTTATCACTATTTTACTTTTCACCCCGATAATATGACCCCAGATGAGTTTTTCTTTATCTTTTATAACGACTCTTTTCAATTTAATCCCGGCTATTTATTACAACAGTAACTATGTAAAACTCCAAAACTACACTGCTATAGAAATACGTGTTTCTTAGATTTCGACTTAGAATAACATATTGAAAGCTCATCAAAATCGGAGGCGGACACCTGAGACGGTTTAGGAGTGGTTTACCGCTTGAAGGGTACCTATTTTTGAAAAACACGTATCTTATGATTTTTTCTCTCTATTTTTAAAATTAGAGTAATCAAAATAGTACCTACAGATTCTCTGTTATGAAAACGTGATTAATTTTTATATATTTAAACTACTCTCTTTCGATCCCAACTTGGAATCATGGAAGCCTTTATATTTTGTGATTTTCAACCGTTAAAACTTTAAATTTTTCATCCAAGAATGTGACCTCAAATGCAACAATGTGAAACCTCAAAACTATGCTGTTTCGCTCCCAACTTTGGATGTTCATTTCAGCCCTTAAAAACATTATTCCGCCAATATAAAAATAAATCGAAACCAGAGGCATGCACCTGAGACGAATTAGGGGGTAGTTTACCCTTTGAAAGCTACGTAATTTTGAAAAACTCAAAATCGCGTATCTTCTAATTTTTTCCTCTATTTTTCAGAATTGGAATCATGCAAATAGGACTACTAGTTTTTCGTTATAAAAACTGTTATCAACCCTTATAACTTTTGTTTTTTTCATCCCAACAAAATACATTATTCTTTTATAACGAATTTTCTACATTTGTGCCTATCCGTTAATCACAACTGCAAGTATGTGAAATTTCATAACTACGCTCTTTCGGTCTTAGCTTTGAGAGTTGATTTCATCTTTCAAAAACGTTTTACCGCTGAATTAAAAAATACGTTTCTCTTGGAGATTTTGGCGTGAACATTCATCAAAATCGGAGGCGGGCACCTGAGACGATTTCCTTTTTAGTAAAAATGAGTAAAATAGATCCATGCACCTTGTACAGTATCCACTGGACACCCTAATGGACACCCTCCAGCCACCAGAACGTTTTTCTGCATGCGCCATCTACGGAGCAGTCTGTGTAACATGTAAGCTAGGCAGCTAAAATCAGTTACTCTTTTAATGCTGTTCAGGCAGTTTTCATCGCAGGCGGATATGTTGTTTCAACCTCGAAATAACAGGTTTTAAGAGATACAAGTATTCTCCGATAGATGGCGCAGACAACACCGGAATGTATCATCGTAACGATTATAATCAAATCAGGTGATGAACCTGGTGCCCTAATGACCTAATGCAATACATACGTTTGAATTTTTAGTATCTGAGCAACAGATTTTTTCAGTAACTATATATTAGCTGGAAATATGCCAAAGAATTTGGAATGGTAAATAAGGATGTGAATCGTGATAGTCGACTTTTTTATTTAATTTCTTCCACCCATACCTTCAAAGGGGTGATATCATGAAAAAAAACATAGGTATATGAGCATATGTCAAGAAAGGTTCTCTTTCTAAAATATAGAGCGTACGCTGCGCACAAAAAAATTTGCCAAAAAACTTTTTCAAAATATTTCAGAAATTATTCTATAGCTACTTGGCCGATTTT